CCATGCCCACTGAGTTTACTTGTTTAATTGTTTATACAGTCCACCCTTTTCATTGATTTACAAAAATATTTTATGTTATCTTATTTTGCTGTTACTAATGTTTATAACATTATAGTAATATAGTATCAATGGTGTTATAAAAACAACACCATTGATATTCATAGCACTAGTAAAAATTAGTTTACCTGCCAATTCAAATCAGGTAAGGTCGCAAGGTCTACTAATTGACTAAGTACTAGCAGAGCCATCTATGTGCAGAGACATTTCACAAAAAATATAAAAAATGAGCACAGCATTTAGCCCATTTTTTATTCATTTTCCCTGACGGCATTGGGTTAATCACCAAGGAGTCAGTTATTAGTCCTAGCTAGCTGACATGTTTACCATTTTCTTTGACTTTTGGAAAGGGTCTTTTGCATTATTTCATTGTCATAATGTTAACATGATTTAAATAACAATTTGATAATCAGAGCATCAATAACAATAATAACCGTATCAATATCAATTGTATTAAAGAGAAACACATTTTCTCGCCAATTCAAGGAATAGGGAAATCAGGATCAGTCACTAGGGCCTTAGATTCCTTGCTAGCTGAGAGATAGATAGCTGATGAGATAGACTCCTTGCTAGCTGAGCACATGTGGAGTCATCTGTATGTAACAAAATTCACAAAAAAATATAGCGAACAAAGCGTAAATCTGTGGTGGTTGGATTAAGATGTATCACAAACCACCTACAGAAGCACTAGAGCCCTGATCTATCTGGATTAGCTTCTGGCAAATCCAAAATATGATTGATCCTCTCACTTCAAGTCACTGTAGAGTCCTCTCATGGGTTTTGTTGTGTAGCCTTACCGAATCCATTTGTCTTAGTGTATCATGAATAATCCTGGAAGATTCTGAGACTCAGAGGAGTTCTGACAAAGGTTATTGGATTGATACACAGCTACTGAAAGTGTGGTAAGGGCATATCTAACTTCTCCTTATGAATTTACTAATGCATTTCAACAATTGAATGGACTGGATGATAGTCAATGTGAGGAACATTGGGTAACATCAACAATCTTGACTTTGCTAATCATGTTGCCATCATATCTGAGTACTGGTAGCTCTTGATAAATTTATCAGTTAGGTGACGTGATCTCTCATATCAAGACCACGATTAAATTGAAAACGTCACACAAAATTTTACATCTCTTAAACCAATCTGGATGACATGACTATTACACAAGGAAAAAAGCTGGCTCAAGGGGTGGTTGATGTGAACATGCTGTCATGGATAAAAATTTGGCTGTTGGCTGGGTTGACATGAACTTGCCATCGTGAGCATTTTGGCCAAAGGCCAGGGTGACAGAAATGTCTTGCCATGAGCACACAAAGCTGTTGGAGGAGACTAAGCATTTTAGAAATGGGCTTTTAGATTATTTCCATCAATAAATGAGTGTGGAATGTACCGTCTAGGAGCTATGACTGGGAGAGGGATGGCTCCAGGGAGGATGCTATTTCCATCCTCAGGACCCTATTCTTGCTCGCAGTGACCGATGGCACAGATTGTATTACAAAAAATAGAATATCATTATAGACTACCTACAGTGATGATATGAAGTCTGTGCAAGGAAACATTTTATTATCAACTAGATAAAGAAAAACAAATAACAAATATTGGAAAACAGCAAAAAAGCTTAAAATGCTTATGCATAAAAAGAGAAAATAACATTGTAAAGGGGAGGCATGGAGTCTTGTCACTGCACACATGTGCTTGCGTGCACTCGGCCTACAAGCCACACATCCATCACAGTGGCAGCTTATGTAGGCCTGATGCCCGTATTTTGAGCCATGTGATGGTAGTGAAGCATACAAATGCAGTGGGTTAATGTAGTTCATGACTCTGGGCTATAAGATCAGGACATCAACAGGTATATTAACCAAGACAGGTTTGATTAGCTTTCTTGATAAAGAATACCCGTACAGAAAGACCAAACTATGCATCTTCAAAGGCCTTATATTGCCAGTTCTGTTATAAAGCACCCCAATATGAACTTTTATCCCCCGTAGTCTCAGCTTGATTTAACTTGTAACAGGTTCTTACATCAGAACATAGAGTACAGTTGGCAGGGCTTCCTGTCCAACCAAAAAAGTCCCTGAGAGGCTATCATCTATTACTTCCATTTGGCTTGACTCCCTAAGGACAATCTTGCATATTAAATTGTCTCCTCAAGAGGAAACCCCCACACACACACTCCCACACCCACACACTTTTACTAATTGTAAAATCAAAGAGAGGAGACTTTTCCACCACCAAGAAAATCAACAACACATAAGCAAAGCATTACATAATATATCAGAGTGAATAAACAGCTTGCTGAAATGTCTTTAAGCTTTTACCAAGTTTAGGCGCACCATTTAGGAAGGTCTAGTAGTGTTGATCTTTTCTCCTTCACCCAGGTATTCCCAAATCCTATTGTAAAGGAAATCTGTAACCTGTATGACCCAGACACCTA